GCGGGGACTTGGGATGTCCCAAGGGAACCATGAGCAAACACAAGGAATAATTGTGCAAGCAAGCGGCACCGTCGAGATCGAGGATCTAGACGGTGAAAAATACTAGCACCGCTAGTGCAAGCACTAGTGGGAGCAAGTGGGAGAGCCATGAGAGAAAGAAAAATGAAATAAGGGTGTTGGGGAGGTTGCCCAGCAGTCCGGGATATCTCGGACTAGCAAGGCATAAGAAAATAGAGCCTTGAGAGGCTCAACATGAGAAAACGGCTGCCCTTAGAAAATCGGAGCAGAAGGGGTTCAAAATTGGGCAAACGGGAGCAAAATGGAGCCCCCCTAGGAGTATGGGGGTGCCATTATTGGAATCCGAGATGTAACGACCATGTAATAGCCATGAACCTGGCCTTCAATAAGGCCCTAGGGCCTAGAAAGAGGGTGCACAACAGTTTGACACTTGTCACAACAGAAATAAAAGAAAAAGAAAGAAAGATAAGAGAAAAAGGAGAGAGAATGAGACAAAAGGGGAGAAAGGAGTGGAAGAGAGTGTGCCGGCCTATTGGGACCTGCACAGTAGGGACTGGCAGGTCCCAACAGTGACCTCATCCCTCCTAGAATGAGGGAGGGCAATCCGGATTGCAGAGATATGGCCCTAAGGGCCATATCTGAATAAAATCTGAATTAAAAAGCTAAAAATGAGAGAAAATGCAAAAAGGAAGTGGCCGGTTTTCTTTTGGACCATGGATCTGAGATCAGATCTCATGGCAGAGAGGAACTAGCCGTTTTTTGTGGGCCAGCTAAAAACGGCTAGCTCCGGAATGAGGTGGCAGCCAAAAATGGAAAGAAACAAGAGAGGGAAAAGGACAAAACAGTGCATTTGGCCCAAAAACAGAGCAAGATGCACCAAAAATTGAAAAACTAGACTTAGGGGCTCAAAATTGAAACAAGGGTTACTAGGGGGTAGCTCGGATTATTGCTGGCCTCGGATCTCAGCCAGATCCAAGGATGAAAATGTGCCGCCATATGGAAAAATGCTCCGGCCTACTCAAAAGAGGCCGAAACTAGAAAAAGATCGAAAAAAGAGCCCACAAGGCCTTTTTCTTTCAAGTATTGCTGCCCCTTGGGCATTTGGACCCTAGGGGGCAACATTTGAGCAATGAAAAAGAGGCCGGGGTAGGCCAAGAGGCAGTCCGAGTTGGTACCAACCACTTGGACTGCATGCACTTGGCCAAAATGAGGCCCATGTACCTCCAGGAGGGCCTAGTGAGGGAATTTTGCCTTGGGGGTACCCCGGTTCACCTCAAGGCTCATGGGGAGGCTCATGGGTTGGCCGGACTGCTGGTTTCAGCCTACATAAGCTGAGGATGCAGTCCGCCACTCTCAAATTTGCATGAGGAGTGCCCATGCTACCCAAGTGAGCTCACAGGAGCACCTTTGCACTTGGAGTGAGAGGGGAGGAACCCATGCTAGAAGGAGAGCTTAGAGGAGACTAGGAGGTAGTGGAGAGGACTCTAGAGGATAGTGATGGTAGGAGAGACACTTGGAAGGTGATCCGCCATATCCCTCCTGGGTGTAGGAGAGGAGGAGAGGCTAGAGGAGCCCCATTAGCCCTCCAAGAGGGGAGGACTCCATAGCCATAGCTGGGGGAGCTTGCCATGACCTGAGAGAAAGCAAGGGAGGAGGAGAGAAGGGCTTGGAAAAGAAGGAAACCATAGCCAAGAGAGGATTGTGCAAGGAGAGGAAGCTTCATCAAGAGGACACCAACACCAAGGAATCAACAAGGTAAGAGGAAGGAAGAGGCTTCTTCACCTTCATCTTCTTCTTCTTCTTCTTTTTCTTCTTCTTCCTCCTCTTCTCCTTCTTCCTCTCCTCCTTCTTCTTCCTCTTCTTCCTCCTCACTCCCTCCTTCTTCCTTTTCTTCTCTCCCCTCTTCATCTCCTCCTTCCTCCTCCTTTCTTTCATTATCTTTCCCTTCCTCCCCTTCTTCTCCATCTCCATCTTCCTCATCTCTCTCCCCTTCTCCTCCATCTTCTCTTACTTCACCTTTTCTCTTCCATGGGCTACTCGAACTCTTCTCTTTCACTTATGCACTAGGAGGTAGTACTCCGATTCTTTCCTAGATGCTTCTTGATGCAATCTTGATGATTTGGGCTCTCCAAACTTGTGATTTTCACACTCACACTAGTAGGTAGTGTAGTGCTTCACCCATGAGTGATCCATGAGGCAATCTTGGTAATTTGGGAGCTCCAAACTTGTGTTTTCCACACTCACACTAGTAGGTAGTGTAGCGCTTCACACATAGATGCTTCTTGATGCAATCTTGATGATTTGGGCTTTCCAAACTTGTGATTTTCACACTCACACTAGTAGGTAGTGTAGCGCTTCACACATAGATGCTTCTTGATGCAATCTTGATGATTTGGGCTATCCAAACTTGTGATTTTCAC